TACCTTGAAAGAAAGATTTTATTAAAATTGTGAAATAGTAAAACTGTGCATCGCATATGTATGTGTTCTTGCGAAATCTACGGTCAAACAGTTTGTACTGTACTAGTGTATGTCATGAAAATTTGTTATATGTAAAAGCTGATTTTTTCATTTTATGTGAAAGTGCAACTTGGCCATTCTGCAAGATATCACTATTGGTGTTCCACAGAAGAAATAAAGTCATATGGGTTACAGATATTTAATTTTGGGTGAATACCTTTAATTACACACAAAGGAAACAAAACAATGTTTTTACCCCAAGGCTTAGGTGTTAAATAGAATAGTTTGAAACCAAGTAAACTACTGTTCAAAAGGTTAATAAGATCATTTGTATTTTTTTACATTTTGAAATAAGTTTATGCTCACCAAGGTTGTATTTATTTGTAAAAATACAGTAAACACAGTAATTTTGTGAAGTATTTTTACAATTTATTTATATATTTTTGTGATTTATTCCTGTGATGGCAATGCTGCATAAATGTCTTTACTGTCAATTATGATCAATTGAATGCATCCTTGCTGAAAAAACTAAACAAAAATTATTTAAAACAATAGCAACAACTTTTGAATGGTAGTGTAAAAAAATATATTTTTAAAGAATATACTATATTCTGGATGATGCTTAAAATTGTTCTAGGCCATTAAAGATGTGACAAACGATTGTTATTAAAGGATAGTTAATGTGGCGTGAGCTGTGTTACTCTGAGCTCTAGGAGTGGTGCACTGTGACGTAAGTTGTGACAAACTGTCCTTGTTGCACCAGCTGTCTAAAAATAGTCTTTTTAAAGACTTCAGAAAACTGCCTACACAGAGCAGTTAACACTTTCAGAATCCATTAATTATTTGAGTTGAGAGACTAGCTGACTTTCGATCAAGATTACATATGGTTCATTTATACAATCAGCTAAGCTAATTTTTAAGTAACCCCTAACTGCCGTGTTTTGCATTCAACTCGTCTTTGAGAGATGCTATTTTTCCCCCCCTGACCAAGCACCTAGTTTTTTCTTGTTCACGTGTAGTGGGAGTTTATCTACCTTGCATCAGTCTAACATCATTCAAACCTTGCTTCATCACCTTTGCATAGGGAAGTGGTGGGTTACGCAACTGATTTACTGGTATGTGGCATCAGGAAACCTGACCCAATATGTGCCAGTCATGTGATCTGGGCCAGAATTTCTGAACACTTCCATTCTCCAGCTGGTCTTGTGTAATGTGTTACATTCTTTATACGCATTGACTTTTAACCTACAGAGAGTAGTATCAGTTTGACAAACATAGCACAATTAAGAGCAACTTGATTTACGACAGCAAGTTTGACACTGACGCACACAAGCAAGCGTACAGTAAACTGAACCTGAGCAATTCATTTCGGCTGAAAAAGGAATCTGATGAATAGATGCAATGGTCACGCTAACTACAGCAGGACAAAAGAAAGGCTTGGATGGCTTTTGTTGGTCTGTAATAGGGAGTCACGAAGGCCACTGAGTCCAGCGTGACCCCGCTGATCTGAGAGGTGTATGGTGTTGTCAGGTCAATTCTATTAGTCCACTCTGCATTTCCAGAAACCTCTAACAGAGTAACCTGCATGACTACCATGTTGTGTTCAAAAATACTTTTATTACAACACAAAATTCATTTTGCATTTGAATATAATAGTATAAAAAGTTTTTACATAAATACTTCTTTAAATTAATATAAATAATTTAAAGACCACAAAAGAACAATTAACTTGTGTAAAAAAAAAAAGTTCTTACAGGATACTGTGAATGCATAGTTTTCATC